CTTTCTTTTTTTTTTTTTTTTTTTGAGCATAGGCCTTGTGCATGCCTGTCATGAGATTTCGCCTCTGCTGCTTTGCCTGGGCTAGCTAAGAATGCATGTTTTGCATTAAATTACTTATCGGTTTCTGTATCAGTTAGCCAGCCCACAACATAAACCCAAGAAGCATTAGAATTAAAACAGAGCACACATCTCAGATGTGAATGTAAGTCAACTCGTTTCACTGCCGATTTAATGGATAATGTTATCTGTACACTAGTGAAAATACCCTTAACTGCATCTTCAGACTTGAAAAATAGTTAGGTTAAGTGCTTTTTATGGACAATTTCTCCAATAGCTATTTTAGCAAAGGACAATTTGGAAACATTTTGGAAAAGACTCATTTTTCTTGGCCCTTTATTGTATAGAGAAAGCAGGTGAGGATTTTAAAACTCGAATTAAATTTATCAAGTTTAAAAATATTTCTGGAGACAGCTTATGTTCCTGTAGGGCATTTTATTCAGATGATAATATAATTCACATACAAAACAATGTGCATCCATTATTGACTTCACTTTTTTTTTAAAGGTATTTTTATACACAAATATTTTGTTCACAAGTATGTAAAATCAGAAGGAGGTTGCATGATTTCTGTAGCAATTCAAATTCGCCAGAATGTGTATCTTTCCTATCTTGTTTTGAAAAATATCTCCCGTATTTTTAAGAAATTAATGAATATATTTTCAACCAATTATTATATTCATCACTTATAGGCATGTTAGTGTTGTAAAGGTTCATTATTATATGAAAGGTTCATTATTTTATGAGAAGTGTTTATTTCAGAATAAATTAACATATTATAGGAGTTAATATTACTGTAATTGGTTCTAAACAAGTTATATTTAAAGGGAAAACGTTATAAAAGTATCAAATGTAATGAGTCAGTAGGGCCTCCTCCTATAATTATAGAATTGTATCTGTGTTTATTGTCTGTATTCAAAATAGACGGTCATGACACAACGGCCGTAACTGCTTTGGGCACCTTGAGTTGGTAACTTCCAAACTGGGAGTCATAAAGAAAACTCTTTCTGCCAGTTGACTCTTAAAAATTACCTACTGTTTTTTCTCTCTACTTGTAACCCTGAAAAACTATTGAAAAGTTACTAAATAAGGGCTTGAAAAAAGTCGTTACTAGCAAATTGAATGGGTAGGAATCTCCTGATTCAGAATTGCTGCTGATTCTAATCCCTGCTGACTGCTAATTGGAGGTATAACTAGTACTCCTTTAGAAAGAGATCTTGGAGAAACGTACCAAATCCAAAAGAATGAAAATTGTGTTTGAGGATGATTTATCAAAAACTTTAGACTTCTCAGATGCATTAATTTCAGATTATGCAAACATCTCTTGTACCTCAGATGCTTCTGTCTAATTAAAAATACAGCAGTGAGAGAGAATTGTTCTTATTAAGTCTAGGAAGACAGGTGTATTTTAAACAGCATAGCTGCTTTAAAAGATTTTAGAAAGTGGAAATTTTAGAAATTTACTAAAGAATAAATAGATAAATTAGTAAATCAATTACATTTATTTAATAGTACATTTGTATTTTGTTTGTAGAGGCAAGCCCAAAGCAAAGTGCATAACAACAGAGTGAGGAGATTATGTACAGGAATTTACTCCAGGCTGCAATGTAGAGGTGGCCTCATATAATTACCAGGAGGCCAGTCCCTTCACATACACACGTCTGGTGTCTGAGCCATGGAAGCTGTAGCAGGTGCACACGTCTTCCTTTCCCCTCTAGTGATGTCCTTAAAGTCACGTGGCACACAGCTAGACGCAAATACGCCACCCAAACCCATCTTCCGAGACTGTCCTTTCCATGCATAAAAATATGAAGTTAATTTGCCTCTGATTGTTTCAGTTAAGTAGAATAAATAAAGAGGGAGAAATTGAGTTACTCTCCAGATAGCAATCCCAGTAAAAAGAAGAAATCATTAGAGCGATAGATGCTAAACATTAAATTAGATTTGAGTTTTCAAAAC